GAGTGAGGGCTGAGGCACAGCCCCCAGGCCTGGCCCAGGGCGCCAGGATGTGCCTGGGGTGTAGGCTTCTCCTGAGCAGAGGCGGGCAGTCCACGGGTCAGGGGAGAGGGGTCTCCCAGGAGGGGCGGAGCCGGAGCCCCTGTTCAGAGGCCGGTCCACGCCACCCCCTGCGCCTCAGCCCTCTCTCCTCCCTGTCCATCTGGCCAGCTTTCCTCCCAGTGGGGGCTCCTCCCGCAGCTGGGGCTAGGGTCACATGGATCCACGTCCCCGAACAGCCTGGGGGTCTTGATGAGGCCTGGGTCAGGAGAGCCACAGAGGGCCCTTCTGTGGCTGGGAGGCCTGAGGGCCTGGGGGCTCTCTTCCTGCAATGTCCTCCAGCTGCTCCACAGCCCTGTCCCCACAACTCTGTCCCCGCAGCCCCGTCCCCACCAGGGACGCGCTCAGCAGAGGTTAGAGAGAGCAGGGCTGCGGCTGGCTGACCCTGCACCCAAGTTTGCGGGCAGTTCTCTGCCTGTCCCACACCCCGAAGGGACGAGTGGGCCTGGGGCCCCTCCCCCTACAGAGGGCAGGGCAGCACAGAACCCGAAAGTCATCAAGGAAGCAAAACAAATGGACAATGTCCCACAGCAAGAAATAGCACAAAGCTGGCCGTCCAACGGAAACAGTGTTTTCTGTTTGTCCAACAGTCCCTGCAAACAAGAGACGGGCCCGGACAGCCAGCGGGCAGTGCTGGGCATCACAGAGGCCAGCGAGGTGCCCGGCGTCCACGTGTCTGGAGGAGTGCGGGTGAGAACAAAGAGCGTGTGCACCTTCAGGAGGTCACTGGGACGGAGTTGGCTGGCGGGGACCCTCCTCACCCCGGCCGTGGTGCCCGTGGCCATCTCCGCAATGTCCTGAGCGCAGATGTCTCTCCCTGGCACTGGCACTGCCACCTGCCTGGTCACCATGGGGTCTTCTCCTGCTCGCCCCCACCCAGGCTGAGACACCTGTCCATGGCTGAGCTCTGCAGCACTTCTGACAATGAAATGGGCTCGAGTCCAGGCTTCTTTAGTTTGCTTAGAAAGTCCCTGGACCACTGACTGAGCCTCTCGGGGCCGGGACCCAACTGTGAACCCTCCAGGCTCAAGCACAGATGCCACACGAGCTCTGCTGGGGAACGTGGGTGTGCACAAGCAGCCTGAAATTCCCGGGGCCCCAGAGGGAGGGCTGGCCGGCCAAGGGGGACATCACCCCAAATCCCCCAGACGTCCCGTCTCCCCGAAGCTATGCTCTCAGGGGTGTGCCATGTGCTTCCCGGGAAGGAAGTGGACAGAGAAGGGAAGGCACTCGGGTGTGTGCATGTGAGTGCATGTACGCACGTGTGTGTGTGTGCACATGTGTGTACATGTATACGTGGCCACGCGTGTCCCACCTGGTGTCCCTACACCCAGGCCTGTCTCCCGCCGGGAACGCAGGGGCCTCACCTGGGATGGAGAGGTGGTGGAGGGGCACGTCCCAGAGCTGCGGGCACAGCGCCGACATCCAGTCCGCGTTCTCCGTGGTGCAGTGCAGGCCCGGGGAGCTGCCAGATGTGCTCACTCGCCCACCCATGGAGGCCAACTCTGTGTGATCTGACCCAGGAAATAAGGTTTTACATAATTAAAACAGGGCACCCAAAAAACACAGTGCTCGTGGAGGGAGGCATGGCTTTGAGAAAGAGGAACCAGTAGACTTCCTTTCAAACAGAAAGTAGGATGGGGTGGTGGGGAGTGGACAAGAGTTCTGGACAGAGAAACACACACACACCCCCCCACACACACACACAAGACCTCTGGACAGAGACCGAGACAGAGGGACAGACAGACAGACAGATGGGGGTGGGGAAGAGAGGGTTTGCGGAAGAGGAAGGGAGCGAGAGACATAGAGGGAGAGGGACGACAGACCCAGGAGCTCAAATCCACTTTCCCGGCTGGCTAGAGCAGGTGACGGGCCTCCGGAGGCCCCCCGACCTCTGGTCATGCACTGACCGCCCCATCTGGGGACTGCAAAGGGGCCCAGGCTGTGCCTGTGGGGTCTCCGGTGTGGCGGCTTCCATCCTGGAGGTGGTGGAACCTGGGGCCCAGGTCAGCACCCCACCTTTGCTCTCCAGGGCTCTGCCTCCACCTGTTAGTGCTGCTGCAGGAAACGGGACCGGAGAGGCTCGGGGATGAAGTGCGGAGCGGGGGAGGGGGCCACCTGAGCAGGTGAGCTACGGGACTGCATTTCCTCAGTGTCTACCTTGCTTGCCTAGGTCCTGGTGCCCCCAGGTCTCTCTGTGGACTGGAGGAGACCTTGTGGGTCCTTCCATTACAGCCGTAGCCGCTGCTTCCTGAGTGCCCACCGTGGGTAGAGGTGACCTTATTCTCAGGACAAGCAGACAAGGTGTGTGTACCCTGCTCACACCCACACAGGTACAGGAGGGAGGCTGACAGAAGCGTCCTTCGGGGTGCAGCAGGCAGGACCGGGCCCCCCAGGTTCCTCAGCTGCTGAGGCCTGCACCACGTCCACTAGGGTCCAGCCGGCCGGCCTACCTCCTCCACCCAGTGGGATGCCATCAGGGGCTCAGCTCTGCTCCCCAAATTCCTATGCTGAAGCCCTGACCCCCAGGACCCCAGAATGTGACTGTGTTTGGAGATGGGCCTTCCCAGAGGTGACGAAGATAAAATGAGGCCACTTGGGCGAGCCCTGGTCCCATAGGACTGGCATCCTTATAGGAAGAAGAGGTGGTCAGGACAGAGACACCAGGCACACACCCGGGACCACAGGAGGGGCCCACGACGCTCCTCGACCACGTGTCACCCTTGTCCTTCACCTCGACCTTGGCCCATCCTTGTTGGGCGGGCACAGCCCCGTCTCATCAAGAACCCTGCTGAGTCAGTGCAGAGTGAGGGCAGCAGAGCAGGCCACCCCAGCATGGGCCTCGCTGGCACGCGGGTTACTTTGGGCTGAAGGCCACAGAGAACCAGCAGACGCAGGTCTCCTCTAGAACCGGGCACAAGCTTTCCTCCTGCGAAGGAGGCTGACGCTGACAGAAAAGACGCTCGCTGAACAAACCCCGCTGGACACCCTTGTTCACTGGGGCTTCCTGGCTGCCTTCCTGTAACTTACTCCCCTCAAAAGAAGCCTAGCACCCAAGTGTCCCCTCCCTGACATCACAGCCCAGGGTCTGGGTGTCCCGTCCCTCCTGTCAAATCCCAGGGTCTACATGTTCCCCTCCCTCCCAGCACAGGCGGCCGTCCTGCAGGCGGAGGGACAGAGGAATGAAAACACTTTACTCGCCGTGGGACATGGAAGAAGGGGATGCTGTTGTAAATGACACTCCCCCAACACAAGCCCGGACTTTTGAGAAGCTGTGTCCCCAGCGGCCCCCACTGCAGACCCTGGTCTTCACCTGTCCACTCACCCAGAGCCTGGACTCACTCCTGAGCCCCTGTGCCTCAGTTTCCCCTCCTGGGAGAGGGACAAGGCCCTCTCACCAATGCTGAAGGCGACCTGAGGGTCCAGAAGGCCCCTCACCCTCTGCATGTGGGAGACAGCTTTGAGCAGAGACCCTTCCCCACTAAGACTCGGCTGAGACTCAGGACCCCCGGTTTCTCGATCAGGACACACAGACCCAGTCCCTCTGGGCTCGTTAGCCGGGTGCTGACCCGCTCCTTCCCAGTTCAGATCCAGGACTGGTCACTCACATGTCCCCTCCTCCCCATCCCGAACTGTACCCGCTGCCCTCAGACTGCACAGAAGCCCCGCTCAGGGCACCTCCTGAGTCGGGGCCTCTGGTGCACATGCCATCAGGCCACCTTCCACGCCAGCCCCACGCCTGGGCCTTCACACGTGGGTTTACTCCTGTCCAGGAGAGACTTCCTCTGCCCCAGCTCTCCAGATGCTGCAGACCTCCGCTCTCTGGGTCCCAAGCACACAGGCAAGTATGCTCAGCTCTGGTGCCAGCCCAGAGCGCCCAGGAGATCCCCACTCCCCAGGCGCAGCTGCGAACTCCATCCTCAGACGGCACACCTGGCAGCCAGCGGGTGCCCCCCCACCCCGAGCACCCTGATGCCTCCCCCGTGAGCACGGGCCCGTCCTCAGCGGGATCCACCCCCCCTCTGCTGCTCAGTCCACACAGGACTAAGCCGAGCGTGTGGGGAGGACCCTGCTGGGTGCAGGATGAGTTAAGATTCCAGTCCTGCCGACCCACCCTGGCCAGGTGAGACACAAGCGCCACCACCACTGACTCTGCAGGGAGGCTCCCTCCCCACGCACGTCTGTAGGTGGTGACGGGCACGCAGCAGGCACGCGGGAAATAGTTCTCAGGTGAATGAATGGGTAGCAACGCTCACTGTGCTGCCAAACCCGCAGACATTCTCAAAGTCCTTGTCCTCACCTGGGCCCCCCAGTGCTCAGCGGTTTCCTGAACCCAACCCGCCTTGATGGCCCTGCCCCCGCAGCCCAAGGACAGGACAGGGACCTCTGTCAGCAAGTTATTCTCCGACCCCGACCGCCCTGCTAACTGGGTCAGCGACACAGGAGACTGTGGGTTGTCACGGCCCCCCTGAGGGGCTCCTGTGGGCTCCTGTGGGCTCAGGGGCTCTGGCCCAGCAGGGCTCACACCTCTGTGAGGGGACACAGTGCCTGCGAGTGGACGCTTTCCCTCGGTGGTCCTGGCCCTCCAGCCCCTCTCGCTGCCCCTCCGGCCTCTGGGTCCCGGGGAGGAGGGAGGAGCCAGGACCTGAGGGGCAGGAGGGCGGAACACCCAGGACCTCCACCCCACCTGGAGGCACGCCTGCCTCCTCTCCCCAGGGGTCTCTGAATTCAGACTCTGGTACTCACCGCACGGCCACAGAACCCAGCAGTGTTTCTGGCTGCAGCTCCAGCCTCTTCCCCGTCTCTCTTGCCGGAGCCCCAGGCACTTCCTAATGCACTCCTGCCTGTGATTGGACGCCAGGAACACCCACTCCTGCGGGGCGCGAGGGCGGGAGGAGGGCGAGGAGCGCCTCCCAGGGCTGACCTGCCCCAGCCCCAGGACTGGCCGGAGGCAACGCTGCAACTCCAGAGGAGACCCCACCATGGGGGCAGTCTGGAGGAACCTGGTCCGTCCTGACGGTGACCAGGGCAGCCAGTGGTCAGATGACAGGACGTGAGGATGTCTGAGCGTGACTATCAGGCCTAGAGGTCAGAGGACAGGGACAGGAGGATGTCCCGAGTGTGACCTCAGGGTCCAGAGGTCAGAGGATGGGGGCCCCAGGAGGTCCTGGGTGTGGCCGTGGGGCCCAGAGGTCAGTGGACTGGATGTGAGGATGACCTGGCTGCCTGGCCGAGCTCTGGCCACTGTCCATCATTGTGGTCACTGGACCCCAGCGCTGGAGCAAACAAGAGTCTCTGCACAGGGCCCTGTTTCCTCATCCCTGCGGTGCCCGTGCCTTTGATGTCTGAGCACATTGGTCAGCAAACGGCCAGGTCCTCCACTGAAGTGCCGGTCCTTCTGCCCTGAGTGGCCCTTGTCCCAGCAATGACCAGAGTGTGTGGCCTCAGGGGCACAAGAGGGTCCCGAGGGCATGTCCACAGCTGCAGACCTGGCTACCCCTGACACTGGCCCAAGCTGACCACAGCCCAGGAGGGTCAGTCCCTCACACACCCTCATCCCCGTCTGCTCCTCTTGGTCAGTCATCCAGTCAGCAAAGAGCCTTGTCCACCTCTACGGACTTCCATGCTGGCAGGAGGTCAACGGGACACGTGGACAAACACCGGGGCAGCTCAGAGGGCTGACTGAGTGAGTTCTCCAGGGGGCCTCTCTCGCCCTCTGACCAGCACCCTTGACCCTCAGTCACCGCAGCAGGTAGACTTGGGGACACTGTCCTCTTATGGGGACGTCCATTCAGCCGTCCAACAGCATCCATCTGACTCCTCTTTCCCTGCCTCCCTCCCTCCACCTCCCACCCCTTACATTTCCTGCCCTCCCCCCACCTTTGCTCTCCCCTCCTCCTCTTGCCCCGAGCTCTCCCCTCTGTGCCCTCCACAGCCCAGGGCCCCAGGTGGAGCTTGTAAAAGGGGGCCTGGGCTTCCTCCCCTCACCCCCCCGCTCCCCACACTGCCTGCAGACTAGACTGTCCCTCCTGGCCAATGCCCACCTTCCCCCAGGTGAGGTCTCCTCCTGCCCTTCACCCTCCTGCCTCCAGGGGGCAGAAGCATGGCCCAACGTTGTCAAATCCTGGAGCCTGGGACTTCATCAGGCTCCCTGGCAGAGGGGAATTAGGTTGCAGAACAGCTGAGCGTGGAGCCGGGGGAGTTTTCTCATCGCCCAGATGGGCGGCGCAATCACGGGGCTGTAAATGTGGATGAGGGGCAGTAGGGGGGTCAGCGACTCTGTGCGAAGGGCTCCCCCACCACTGCTGGCTTTGCCCTGGGGGCAATAGTCCCGAGCCAAGGGTGCAGGGCTCCCTGGAAAGACAGGACGGGGACCCTCCCCTGGAGCCCCCCGAAGGAACCGCCCTGCCCACACCTGCACCAGCCCAGGGAGACCACGTGGGACTGTGGCCTACCAGACTTCTGTGGAAGCTGTTGCAGAAGCTGCAGGGCCTAACACAGGGTCTGCTTCCTGCAGCTGCTTCCCCTGCCGGACTCTGCCCTCCACCTCCTTCCTCCAGCCCAGCTCACAGGCTGCCTCCTCCATGCAGCCCTCCCAGCTGTACTGAGGCCAGAAGCTCTTTCTCTCCCCGAGGCTCCTGTAACTCAGGTACAGGGGGATGGAGAGTGGGCTCTGTCTGGTCTGAGACCTGATTTACCCCGTGTGAGTCTGCTCGGGCTGCCACAACAAATACCACAGGCCTCCCCAAGTCCCGGATGCTGTAAGTTTGACCTCTAGGTGTCTGCATGCAGGCTAGCTTCTCCTGAGTCCTCTCACACTGGCGTGTAGATGACTGTCTTCTCTGAATGTCCTCACGTGGTCTCCCCTCTGTGCCTGTGGGTGTCCTAATCTCTTCCTGTAGGACATCAGTCCTATCGGATTAGAGTCCACCCTCGTGGCCCCGGTTTACCTTGGTCACCTCTTTAAAAACCCCATCTTTAACACAGTCACATCCTGGGGCCCTGTGGGTTAGGGATTTAGCATGTGAATTTGGGGGGATACAGCTGAGGGCCTACCATCCTGCACAGGAGCGAACACGTGCCTCAGTCCCTCCTCCCCTCACGCCCCACGGGGGTGATGTGACAGTGAGGGCGAGGCTGCCGTGCAGTGTTTGTGTCCCAGCTGGGGAGGCCACCTCTGCTCTCTTTTATGGAGCAGCCGCAGTGCCAGCCCCTCCTGAGGTCAGCAGTTCTGCAGTTTCGGGCTGTGTCACCTGCTGTGGCAGGCCAGTGATGTGGGTTAGTAAAAGAATTACCAGAGACCGAGGAAAGTTTAGGGAAGTTTAGCAGCCATGCTGCTATAGGCAACAGCAGGCCACATGGATGAAAGCGTGTTTCTGTGTGCCAAGGGTGGGCGTGCCGGGTCTGTTACTGGGGGAGGGGGCTGCATGATCAGTTTGTGCACAGGTACCTGATTGGCTGTAAGCTCTGTCCACGACTTTGATAAGGGCAGGATGTGATGCCTGTCCACCTGGGGTATTGTGGACAGGGCTATCTCCAGGGGCGATGAGTTCTGCCAGGGTAAACACACATAAAGAGAGATTTTTATGCTGCAGAAATGAAGGTATGCGAAGGGTCCTGCCATGGGGGTGGCGGTTAAGGTGTCAATGACTCCAGGCACACAGAGAGCCCAGGAGTCGGGGTTTTATGGACTTTAGAGCAGTTTCAGAGTGGCAGGCTGCCCCACAGCACGTGGCCCATGGAGGTGCTGTCAAGGAACCCGGAAGCCAGCAGCCTAGGAGGGGTGCTGGGGACTCTCGGGGCCTCGTGGGGTGTCTCTCCCAGCAGACGGCCCAGCCAGAGTGGGGAACCTGTGAGGGATTACAGGTGGGAGGGAGCCACCATCTCACTGATGCTTCAGCAAGTCCACACTGGGATGGGATGTGAGATGCACCATGGGGGTAGGAGGTTTGTCAGGGCCTGACGGAGGAGCCAGGCACAAGACCCAGCTTGGGCCACGGCTGTAGAGGGGAAGTCCTGTGGGGACTGGCTCCAGAGGAGGAGCTGACAGTCACTGGGGTACAAAGAAAGAGGGGGACTGGGAGGCCCCGGGTGTCTGGGCTCAGCCACCAGGGCAGGCGGGGCTGCCTCCTGGGGGTGTGGAGAGTGGCAGGACCACAGTCCTGTGAGGGGCCTGTCAGCCCCAAGGTGAGAGGGGGATGCAGTGGATGGACAGATGCGTCTGGCCTGGGAGAGGGGTCCAGGGAGGAAGGGGAGAGGCCGGGTCAGGGCAGGTAGCTTACAGCAGACATGTGTTAATGAAAAATACTGCACATCTTATCAGTAAACAAAGAATGCTGGAGCCATCAAGTCATCAGCGGCTGCCCCACCCCCCAGTGAAGACCAGCCCGCAGCCCGGCCTCTGCAGCCACTCACAGCGGTGCCCTCTGAGGGGACTCAGAACAGGAAAGGACAGGACACTGGCCCTAAACGGCTCGGTGTTTGTCAAAGGAACGAATTCAGGGAGCCCAGATGTTTGCTCCTCCCATACATAGAACAACGCTAAATTCTTTACCTTGAGATGCCTGGTTTTCTTCGGTTAACAAACAACGTTTAATGTTCTGACTGCCTGGTCTTTGATGTAAAACTGCCCCTGCTTATCCTGGCTCCCTCCCACCCTGGAGCAGACCCTCAGAGCCATCCGAGAGGCGGTCATCCAGGGCACGAGGCTTTGAAGTGAAGCTATAACAGATCTTTGGTTTTGTCTGTTTATACGTCTGTACACATTATAGACGTGAGGTGTCTACTGCTGAAAATATCAAAATTAGATTTATAAAAGAGCTCTGCTTAATTGACTTTGTCGACTGAAATAAAATCACACAACCTGAGAGTTGTGGGCTAAGTTTTATTGGGGTCAGAATGAGAACCATAGCCCGGGAGACAGCACCCCGGAAAGCTCTGAGAAGCTGTTCTGAGGATGCAGGGGGGCAGCGCAGTATCAGGTGTGCTTTCAGTGGAGGCGGACGTCCTGTCAAGCACACATCTAGGCGGAGGCTGCTGCTGTTCCTGAGGAGCAGATGCCACTGTTAATGATTTTAGTGCTTTTCTAGAATGAGGAGGTGCAAAAATTGGGGTCATAAAATCTTGTCCTGAAGATATCGAACCACGTGAAGGCCTGTTCAGCCAGTTTTCCCAAAGCACAGGTTGCCTCATTCCTGACCTCCATCCTGAGCTCGGTCAGTGGCTGCCGTGGCTCATGATTTAGTCCAAGCAGAGGTAGATGGCAAGAGCCAGTTTTTACTTAGCCACTCAAAAGTAAGCACTTACAAATTAGATACTTCTAAAATAAAACCTGGCTGAATTGACTTTCAGGTTCACGTGAACTGGAAAATACTCAATATTAAGTTAATACCTGGTATCAAGTTTAGTAGAAGTTTGTGGATCTAATTAATATAGATGTCTTTAGAATCATCAATAGTAAGTATAACACCTTTACTGTAACTAGGTTTCATGAAAATCAAATAAGATCTTGTTGCAGATTTGTCAAAAAATTTTAGTAATTTGGTGTGATCAAATTCTTAGAAGTAAAATAAACACAAATGATATAAGAACTTTTGGGTAAATGCTTTAAAAATATTTTTTAGGAATATCTGCCTGAAATAATCTCTGCAAATATTTGGTATCTTAAAATTCCAGACTTGTGCTAAACTAAGTTAAATGATAGTAGTTTATTAAATAAGTAGGTCATTCCCAAATGAAGTAAGATATTAAAACATTAATTACTGAACATTGGCTTCCCTTTGCAGAGAGGCTAAAGGTATTTGGGAGCATTGACAAAAACACTCGGCACCACCCTAAGAGATTCTCTATAAGAAAACGTACGGGTTTAGAAATGAT